AAATATAACAGGGAAGTAACGTATTTTTGAATTTTCATATCGCGTTCAAGCTCTTAGATTGCCATAAAATAAATACCTACATATTAGCTACTTTATTAACCCTAATCACACCATTCCGTAATAAAGATATAAAAAGGGGGAGTTTTTTTTTATTAAGATATAAATATGTATGATATACGAGTATGTATTTTCCCAGATCACTGTAAATCTCTCTAAATTGCTTATAACAAATTGATTAATGTTATGCTTATTTCGATTTATATGGCTTGTGGTGGATAATAAAATTAATATACAGGGTGGCGCACCTCATTCGCCTCGGTTGATTATACGAAAACGGAAAGATGTAGAAACAAAATATTTTATGGGTATATGTGGGAAGGCAATGTACATAATTTAAAATTATTTTCAAGTGTATAGGGTGTGTCAGAACTAAGATCCACACCAAAGTTATATTTTTTCTTATGGAACCCCCGATATTTTATTTCATTTTTGGATTCTTGGACATAAAATAAGGCATTTATTATAAGGGTTTAATATGTTTAAAAGCTTTGGTTTTTGAGATATTTAAAGATATTTAAATATGCATGCTATAATAATGAAGTTTGTCAACACCTTGTACATTACTTTTCAGAATTAATTCTTGTGCTGACTTTCAAGCCAGAGAAATGAACTTTACTAAAAAAATTTGATTGCTTCCTTAAATCTAAACAGGGGTATCAAAAATTGTTGCTCTATTTTAAATATTTATTTTCATAAAAACTTCGTTATTTCAAATGCAACACTATGTATTTTTTAAATATGTCGAAGCAGATTTAAATGCTCTTTCAAACTATATTAGGGTTTCCTATACCCATCTGGCTGAGATTTTAAATAAAAAGCGATTTTTCAATAAAATTGTAATCAAGATGGCTGGTGACGCCATAGTGTATTTCAATTGTTTAATTATTAATGTTATTTAAAAACATATCTGGATCGACGTCATGCAGGTAACTGATCCCTTGGGCCTACATCAAATTAATTTACTGGAATTATATTTTATATGATTTTTTCCCAATTTGATATAAACTCAAAACAGTCTAAATTGAAGCCTTGACAATAAAATTCCTTATTAATTTCCTTAGGTGCCAGACCTGAAACGAGACAGAGCCGCGTCTGTCGACTCCTGCTTCTCCAAAGTGTCCGAGAAAAAGACTGAAGAACTGCAACATTCCGGGGTGAGTCTTGAAGTGCCCGTGGGGCCCAACGTGGCCCTCAGGTCGAGGTCGGTGGACATCGTGTTACCCACCGATGAGCAGGCCCGCTATAAGGCACTGGCTATGGCAGCGCCGAGTTCAGCACAAGGACAGTATAGGTAAAACTGATAATATTCACATTACTTTATTAATATTCATTTATAGTGGTTTTAATTTAACAATTTCTTGAAAAGCGAATATCTTGCTAGAAGCTATTGAGATAAACCAAAAAACACATTTTCGAGAAAAGATGCACTTAGATAATAAAATTAGTAACAAAGGATTAAATTCGTTACTTTGTTAACATAGTCCACAGGGTGTTTCAAACTTTCACCAAAATATCAACATTTTGTTTTCCCTCGTATAATAGACAAATTTAATCTTTCATTCTTAATTTAGAAAGATGTCAAAAAGTCAAATAATTTAGCTACAAATTGCTTAAAAAATCATTAAAATTGACCCACTAATTTATTGTAGTTTATTAAAAAAGCTGTTTTTCCATTACATACCAATACATAATATCAACTAGTACAAGCTATTTTTGTTGTTTAATGTCGTACAATGTTTCGAATATTGTTTTGTTTCACTTTTTAATATTTTTGATTGTATGTTTTAATTATTGTATATTTTTTAAAAGTTTCAACCATAAAACAGAACAAAAAACAATACAAATGTATAATACTCGTATGGCTAATATCTGTTACACGTAATTAAAATATTTTTCAAAAATTTTAGGTGACGATTTTTTTACTTTAATTAAATTTTATATTTTATTTTAGGTTCTGCAAATATTTTTTTTTATTTCAGCCCTTTCAAAAATGGTTGATGATTATCTCTCTGTAACATATTTATTTTTAATTCTTATTAAATTTGCTTTTGTTAATTTTTTTTAATTTTATTTATTATTGTTTTGTTAAGCTAAAAAATAAAATTGTACTTATTTACTTCTTGTTATTATTTACCCTATTTTATAATTTTTTCACCCTTTTACTTTATCATATTACTTCTTAAAACCATTACTTTGCATGCTTTGCTTTTTTATCATAGAAGTTTTTTTAGCATAAGAGAAAATATTTTTTTTTTCTAGCTGCTGGGTATTATTGACTTTCTATTAAATTGTATTATTGACATTTATTACTGATATTGACTTTTTATTTTTAAACAGAATAGTAATTGTCTCTCTATGACTAATTTCAGACTGCATAGTGATATATTATTATGTAGTGTTGAAATTTATTTCACTGCAACAAAGACCACAGCTTTAATCACCACATAATTCCTGTTCATTTTGCAAATGCTTCCGGTACAACTAACGCATTTTAGTTTAATTAAAAGAAATATTTCGGTTCTGTTATTATGAAACGATATGTTTAGGGACACAGGTATTATATTGAATAAAACCTATTAATAATTGAAGTTTATTAAAAGCTGAATTAGATATATAATTATTATTAAATTCGAATAAACACATTTGATATTTCCAATTTCACTTTATGTAGAAATGTAATTTAAAAGCAACACTACTAACAATATTATTGTGTCCGGTAATACTATAGGTATACCGGGTGTGTCTCAAAAGTGGCTCACCCCTATAATTTTTTTTATTTTATCAGATAAAAAAACGAGATTTGGTATCTTAGTACACGACATAAATTAGGATTGATTGACGTATTCAATTGTTTTTGGTTACTTCCTGTTTCACCGGAAATAACCTTTACAACCTTTGATTTAAAATAAAAGGGATCCTCGCTATATTTTTACTTTATTCCATAGAAAATGACACTGAATAAAATGACATATAATATGTCAACTTTTGACATTTTAGCTTAAAAAAAACATAGTATTTTAAATTTCAATCTAGCGTGCCATGGCTGTGTTGGAAACACTAATTTTTAATCAAGGAGCCGTGGAAAAATAGATTTGATCGCCTAATGTTTTGTCTTGTCATGGCCGGTTAAAAGATGCCCAAATCGTATTTTTAATCATATCTCATTTTTTTCAAATGGAACAAGGGTGGCTCATTAGTATATTTGGAAAATGCATTTTTTACGAATAATTTGGTATCAAACACTTGGTCTTTCGAGTCAACTTGTCGCTATGAACCGCATCTTATAATTTCAAATAAATCATAAGCGAAAAAACCATGCAACATTATATACAATTTTTATCATATCTTTGCCCACAATGACAATATTGGACTTCCTTACACTAATAGGCCACCCTGTATCAATAAATGATGTAAAATAACATTAAAGTCAATATATCGGTTTTACGACGCAGCTGAGCCTTTGCCCTTACTTGTATAATATTCTGTAATACGTTTTAATTTAGTATTAATTAAACAAAAACCGGCATTAATTTTTTAGAGAGAATTATAATTAAAGTGCCAAGAACAAGCCCAATACATTACCTTACATTAATTCCGAACAATGTAGAGCTCCCCATAGCAATGCCAGTCACCAAATTTACCCCTTTTAGCCTTTTGTACCCTCGGGTCCAGCTATTGTTCCCAACCTTCCCACATCCAGAAAGTGCTGCTAATAGACCTACCTGTTCCCTTTTTGTGCGTCCCCCAACCCTGACGAATATTTCGTGAAATAGGGACGGATCTGCCATTAGGAATTTGCGAATAATAAGGACACATGTTACAGTAAAGGCTTTAGAGATTAAAATGGGCTGAAAAGGCTTCGATCGACAGAATATCGTTTAAAAAGGGGTTTTAACCAATGAAAAAAAATGAAAAAGAAAGCAATCGAATTATATTTCGAGCTGCCATTTTGAAAGCCTTTGTGCTCAATCTTGTTTAACTTTCTTCTAAATAGATATTATCGTCCTATTACTGCCAAAAGTCACTAACTAACAATTTTCCGAACAACCAAATTCAGTCACTAACTATGTTCTGAATAGGAGAATCGATTGCAAATGTCTGGCTATGTTTTATTTTAATACCGAATAGTTACTAACTATAACATCTGTATGCAATGCAATTCATCTTTAGACGCATTTTTCTCGAAAGTAATAAAAAGTAAATTAGTGACTTTTGGCAGCAATGGGACGGTATATTGTTTTATTAGGAGTAAAAATGACACTTTTTGCGACGAGGTTGTACGTTTGACTAGCGTTAGCGAGTCCGACATACAGGCGAGGCACAAAAAGTAATTTTTGCTCCAAATAGAATATGCTATTTTTTGCAAATTCCACAAATAATTTTTTAAATAATTTCAAACCTTTCAAATACTATAAAAATATTTAAAAGGAATAGCTTGTAAGTAATTATATATCGAGAAACTATGGTTAAGCTCGTTGAATTTGACACTTAATGTCAGTTTCAATAATACCGGGTGCATCTCAAAAATGGCTGTAACTTTTTTATTTTTTTCAGATAAAAGAACGAGATTTGGTTTGTTAGTATATGACATAAATTAGGATTGATTGATGTATTCAATAGTTTTTGGTCACTTCCTGTTTCACCAGAAATGACTACAAGTTTTGATTTTTACTCTCGTATATTGACACACACTCTGAATAGAATAACATTTCATATGTCAACTTTTACATTTTCGCATATGGTTTATGCGAAATATTTTATAAAATTGTAACATGCGCTTTATAACGACAACTTGACTCGAAATACCAAGTGTGTGGTACCAAATTATTTGTAAAAAATTGCTGTTTCCAAATATGCTAATGAGCCACCCTGGTTCCATTTGAAAAAAAATTGAGATATGATTAAAAATACGATTTGGATATCTTTTAACCGGCCAAGACAAGTCGCTGAAAACATTAGACGATCAAAACTATTTTTCGTAGGCTCCTTGATTAAAAATTAGTGTTTTTAGCACAGTCATGGCACTCTAGATTGAAATTTAAAATACAATTGACCAAAAACAATTGAATTTGTCAATGAATCTTAATTTATGTCATATGCTAACATACCAAATCTACTTTTTTATCTGAAAAAATAAAAAAGTTATAGGGGTGAACCACTTTCGAGACGCACCGGTATACTTTCGTACTTTTCTATTTAGACATAAAAGTGCTTTACTTTTATTTTACCGACTACGGGGGAGATATACCTCCTGAAACGTTAAGCATTTTTTTGTTTTACTAGAAAAATATCACTGTCAAATTGGTTTCCATTGGATAAACACAGCGGTGCTTACAAAAAATAACTATTTTATTTTGTAGATTTTTTTCTAGTAGCGAAATACCCAAAAGTCTTTTTTGGAAAATCATACCCTCTCAGTTTATAACAAAAGGGGTATGGTTGTTATTTAAACACAAACTTCCCGATTAAATTGTTTGTTTAGTAGACAGTTTCTTTTGCAAAATATACGCTACGCAACCTGCATATTAAAATGTCCAACGCAGACCGACATCAAACGCTATATTCCACCTACTGCACGACAAACGTGTACGCGTAAGCACTATTTTTCCTCATTTGGACGCTCGTTATAATGAAACGTTGCCGTTTTGTGCCTAAATATTGTTTCTGTTTATTGGCGAAACACGGGGGCACAATAAGCAACATTAACCGATCCAGTTGGTGGGACAAATCATCGTCAAAAATCAGCAAACCGTGCGGTTTGGGCGCCAATTAACAAAACATTTCTCGAATTTGCGTACGTTGCAAATCATTAAATTGAAAATTGAAAAATTAACGACAGCAAACAAGGTCAATTATTAAATGCATAGATAAATGAAACAAGTTTAGATAGGAAAGTTTCCATAAAGACAATGAAAATACTATTTGGCGCTGTTTTTTCAGCGGATGATCCAAAGTTTTCGATAATTTCGGAGCGTTTCGGCATTTTCCGGAATTATGTCGGAGAATTTATTATTATTGTTTTCATAAATATGCATATTTAATACACCCAGATGCAAAAAAACACAACGGAGAAATTTTTGTTCAAATTTAAAGTGTTATATTTTTGTTATTTTTAGCTCTATTTTCATGATTTTTTTTGCAAGCTGTATATAATTATATCAACTTTAATTCGTACACTCAGCTTTTTTATAAACTTTAGTATTTGGCATATTATACAGGGTTAAACGAGGAGTTGTTTTTTACCTTAACTTTAAAACACCCTATGCAATAATTTCGTTTGTAAATTTTCCTAAAATATAATTTAACGGTTAGAACCATGTCTCCTCAGCATTTTATTTTTTAGATCATATCAATACATTCCTTGGTTAATTTTTAAGAGCGAAATGAACTTGCAACTCGATCTAACCGCTCGAGCAGATCGTTTTACTACGTTTGCGCGTACTTGTCTTCACGGGATCGTTTTGGACGCGATGTCGCGCTGCTTGCTCGCCGCTATCCTCGCCGCTTCACTATGTTCTTAGCCTAAGGACTCCATTGGGTACCACTATCTACGTGCCAAGTTTTGTTCCAATCGACCCATAATTAAGAAAAATTTTCGTCCATTTAGAGGCATCGGTTCGAAATGTCTTGTAGCCCGTCCCCAATTATGCCAAAATCCATCCACATTTTTCTTCAATATCAAATCCTTAGTCCCACCCTGATAGAGATGCAAACGAAACGTCGCATTTTAACTTTGGGACCGTGAGCACCGTCGCCGTCGCTTACATTCGCCATTTCTAAGGAAAAAATAAGTTCAAGGAACTAACAAAAATAACCTAAAAATAAATAATAATAAAGCAACATCAGCTTAAAAGTTTCAGGTTAAATTATTATGAATAGAGGTTTATGTTAAGTTCTACCTAGTCTAAGGGATTACGTTATGCTCGCAGACATACTGGAGGTTTAGTGAGTTGAGATTAAAAGCTTTGTCTGAATAAGCCAAAATTATAAAATATTAAGTAACTTCTTGGCAACA